ATAACATCAGGATTTTTGAGAAATGATTTTATATCTAGGAAACTTATAGTCTTGTACATCTGATGGTATTTGCAATTGTTTTTGCCCTTCTGCCATTGTTAATGCTGTTGGTTTTCTCTTATAATTTCAGGCATTACTGCCGTACGGGTTCTACATCTGAGAAACGTAAGAAACATAACTTATTTTGGTAAAAGTGGAAATAAATGCATTTATTTAACCACTTGCTGTTTTCATTGGTCATGTTCCTGTGGCCCATGTTTGAGTTTTGGTCCCTGCACTACTGTCTTCACGAAGCATCTAACATTAATGATAAACTTTCAGGATGTTTCAAGTTGGCTTCATGCGATCCCAACACTGCAAATCAAAATATTCATGCATATGGAATAATGCTCATAGTAAGTTGTTCTGAATACTGAAATGATTATGTTACCTTTATGATATTCTAGGGTAGTCACGAGTTCATGCTATGAGTAAACATTCTATGTGAAAAATGATACACTCAAAATATTGAATATTGAATAATGGATATGATTATGTTGGGACAACCAGAAGAATAGAAGCACTTGCAGCTTTAGTGGTCAGAATCATAAGAATGATAAATGCATGGTCAAAATTGTTGTTCTCATTATTGTTTCTGTTTCATTCTATTTTCTGTTGTGTTTGTTTCCGATATTTCTTGTAGGTTACTGGTCTAATCTTGATGCTTGCAATAAGTGTACAATTATGTTACTAGAAGTATCAATGTATAGATGATAGCTGATACAGTATGCATTCTCTTGGAATTCCATCTGATGTCATGTTCTGTCTTATACTACCTACATAGCAAGAAGTATGCCTTTAGCTCTTTTCATGCAGTCACAGCTAATAGATATTGCGCATATCACCTGTTATTGCAGGCTGCTTTATGTACTCTTCTGCTCATTATTTACAATTGTTCTGACCAAGTTATCAGCACACGGGAAAGGAGACATGCCAAATCCAGGGAAGCGGCTGCTAGAAGTGTTAGGGAGAAAACAGAGGCACGTGAAAGGTGGAAAGCTGCCAAAGAGGCTGCTAAGAAGCATGCATCTGGATTACAAGCTCAATTTTCTCGCACATTTTCTCGTAAAAAAATTGTTACACATTCTGAGCAACTTAAAATCTTGAATCCAGCAAGAAGCGAAAGAGATGATGACTTATACCCACCTATGCTCCCAAGCAGTTCAGGTACATATCAGCAATCATCTACTACATCCAAAACAAAGAATACAGAGCCTAATGATCTTATGAAGATGATGCATGCAATTGAAGATGATCCTGATATTTCTGAAGATTTCAGCTTGGAAATTGAAGATAGAAATACCAAAAAGAAAATGCCAAAGGAAAAACAAATTCATACTCATAGTCAGATTTTCAAGTATGCATATGCACAAATTGAGAAAGAGAAAGCTCGGGAGCAGCAGAACAAGAATCTTACCTTCTCAGGAGTGATTTCGTTGGCAACAAATAATGAAATCCGGAAAAGGCCTGTGATTGAGGTCTCTTTCCGAGACCTAACCCTTACTTTGAAAGGAAAGAAGAAACATCTTTTGAGGTGTGTTACTGGGAAGATCATGCCTGGCCACATTACTGCTGTGATGGGTCCATCGGGGGCTGGGAAAACAACTTTTCTTTCTGCTCTTGCAGGAAAAGCAGTTGGATGCACACTAACTGGTTCCATTTTCATAAATGGAAAGACAGACTCAATCCATTCATATAAGAGAATCATTGGTTTTGTGCCACAAGATGATGTTGTGCACGGAAATTTGACTGTGGAGGAGAATCTCTGGTTCAGTGCAAGGTGCAGGTATGAATGTTGTTTTTTAGCATCTTTACATGCAATATATTTTAATTCCTTCAAAGTTAAATTCATTGTTCAAATTAGTCAATTAGTATTGTGAGATTCGTAGCGTGTAGAAAAACATGTTAGGTGTGAGTAATTGTTGAATTTCATCATGCTGGTTGTCTCACCTCATAGCCCTAATGTAATTGCTGTTTTAGATGCAGAGTCTAAAGGTAATATCAAGCTGTATATAACAAGCATGGGATGGTAATCATCCTCGGTTGTTCTTAAATTTGATATAAATTTTATTTTTGGCCTCAAAATTGTGAACCGAATAATTTTGCCCATAGTTGTCTACGCGATATGTATCTTACGATACGTCTCGATACTATACCCAAATGATACTTATCTTACGAATTATATCATTTTTCACCATATCTTGCGATATGCAATACATACCGTAAGATATGTTTCGATAGAATGAGAAAACAATTCGCGCAATATAAAGTGACGCCGTTTTCACAATGATTTTTTTTACAATAAATAGTGAAACATTGTTGTTCTATGTGTTATTTTATTTTTGGGTTTGATCTCAAATAAAAGAAACTCTCGATCATCTACTTGTCATGAGACCATCTTTTGTTTCTCTTGCATGTTATTTTTTTTCTTCTTATTCAAACAGATAAAATCATAACTATATTTTGATCTTTGTATTATGAAGACAAACAATTATCTTTTTTTGATCTCTATTGGACACACACATCAAATGAAATGATGAGTGAGTTGAAATGATATTTATATTACTTTAAACAATACATATTTACATATTTTAAACGGAAGGGGGGGGCAGGTATGCAAATTTTTTAAATTGCGCGTATCTTATGATACACAATACATTATTTTTGAAAAATGATACTTATTCCGATGCATGTTTTGACAACTTGATTTTGTCTATCAATGTGGTGGTTCTATGTAGGGATGGCAATGGACGGGTAAAAATGGGTATTCGTCTAAACTCGCGCTGTTTAGACCAAGAATAAACCATACGTACTGGACGGTGGACATATACCCGTATAATCCCATGCGGGGATGAACTGACACTTACTCCCGCCTCGCCCCTCTCTTCTTTATCCTTTATTGTTGTTAATACATATATATATATATATATATATATATATATATATATATATATATATATATATATATATATATATATGTTGTTGTAAATATAAATCTACATATTATTGAATGATTTTTTATTTAAGAAATTGTTTTGTTTTTTGATTTTTTTTTCATGTTTTTGGTTTGTAAAAGTGTAAATCTTTGTGTTTTTATGTTTTTTTTTTTTTATGTTGGATTCTGTTATGTTACATTATGTTGTATTACATGATGCTGTGTTAGATTTACATGGAAGACAAGTATTTAATTATATTATGTTGGATTATGTTGTTGATAAGGTTTTAATTATATTATTTTGGATTATGATGTAGATGACAAGTTTTTAATGATGTTATGATATTCTATAATTATATTGGATTATTTAGAATGTTAGATTTATTTTGAATTTTGGATTGTGTTGGCTTGGGCTTGGGTTGAGGTGGGTAAGGTGGATTGAGTGGGGGACGGGGTGGGAAACAAATTTACCCGCGGACGGAGATGGAGATGGGGATGGGGATGAAAACTATACCTATTAACGGGGGTGGATCGGGAATGGACAGAGTTTTTTTAAGCAGGTAGAGGGATGAAGACTACACCCTCCGCCCCTGCTTCGGTCCACTGTCATCCCTAGTTCTATGTTATTCACCACCAACACTATTGAGAGTGCTTATCCATACCCTTTCAGTTTACCCAGCAAAACTGGAAATGTTAATTACTTGTCACCGAATTGGCTGACATCGTTCCGCGACGCTACGACATGGACTGAATTTATCACCATATTCAACTTTTTCTTTTAGGTTGTATTGTCCAATAATGCGCCACGGTCAATTGCTATCCGAGTCGACGGCGAATACCACAACCTTAAACTATGACTGCTTATTACCCTAGGGCAAGACTATCCTAGCATTGGAACCTAACACCATAGAGCAGTCCTGGACCCTGATTTTGGTCTAAAGGTAGAGGGGCATATAGACCCACTTAAAGGTTGATAGGACGTGCAAAGTTTCCCTCAGAGGTTCGATATTTGGCTTAATCTTTGGCAGCTTGACCATTCAAGCCTAAGACAGTGGGCATGCCCAAAGTTGGCTATATGACATGTGACCCTTTGGGAGGCCCTGGCCTTCATCAGGACACAGGGCTTGGAGACTCCTCACCAACCTTTTGCGTGTTGGCATTGGAAGGAAATCAACCCCAGGCTGTCCTAGCTCAATGTGTCTGGGTTGCAGAGTGCTGCTTTAAGCTGCTCTTCTGTGTGGTGCCGCATGGGTGTGATTCGTTTCTATTGAGATGGCAGGTCAATATGCCCTTTCGAACTTGCTTAAATTGTGATTCTTTTGAGCTTCTTTCTAAAATTGGGGATTCCGCTAATTTTTTTTTTTTTTTAACAAAGATTAAAATGTGGATTTGTTGGGATTGATAGTGTGAACCCTACTTTGCCTTGGATGCCATGTCTTGCTTCACCACTTTAGTCCATGAATTTCTATTTGTTGTAGTAATGCATACAAATCGAATCATGGCTCTTCATTTTGTAAAATCAAAGCATCTGTGAAAACCTTCTCCCACACTTTATTTAGTTGCTGCTGCACTATCATTCTCAAATGTATAGTTTATCCTATCATTTCTTCTACTGTCACTTTATCCAGGCCACATCCGCATCAATCTACTCGTCCTACTATTTGATTGATTCAAGATAACAAAAACAAAATTGAAGGGAAGCTGCCCAAAAATTGAAGTGTAATATGAATAGACATTTTGGGAATCTCCAATGTTAATTTAGTCCATCCTCGGTGCTCAATATGTTTATTTTTGTCTACATCATCCAATCACTGCCGTACATCTTTTGTCTACTGACTGCTTTTCATTGTTTTAATAATTGAAGATTATCCGCAGACCTGCCAAAGCCAGATAAGGTTCTCATTCTTGAAAGAGTTATTGAGTCCTTGGGGTTGCAGGCAGTGCGGGGTTCCTTGGTTGGAACAGTAGAGAAGCGAGGAATTTCTGGGGGCCAGAGAAAGCGGGTGAATGTTGGGCTGGAACTGGTGATGGAACCTTCACTTCTGATCTTAGATGAACCCACATCTGGTTTGGACAGTTCTTCTTCTCAGCTACTATTGAGAGCACTTCGACGTGAAGCTCTTGAAGGGGTGAACATCTGCATGGTTGTCCACCAACCGAGGTATTTATCACTATCACAAGACTGCATTCGGGGGGCTCTGTTCTTTTTCATATTCTTTTTGGTTCCTGGAAGTTTTATCTCCATGTTATCTCCATGTATAACCTGGTAAACCATTCAATCTGAAAGGTTTGCTTGGATGAGGTTCATGTATTTAGTTCGTGTATATGAAATCTATGCTCCTTTAGCGATTGTAACTTTGTGATTTTATGCTTATATACAAGGATTGTGATAGTCATTGTTAAGTTTGGAAGATTAACACAATATTAGAGACAATATTTAGGGAGAAAGAGAGAGCTTAACAACATAACTTAGCTCTCATACAACACTTATATTTATAGTTAACTCACAATAATAAGAATTATACATACACCCTCTTACTATTAATAATTTACATATACTACCCTAATATTCTTAACACTCCCCCTCAAGCTGGATTATATATATCATATAATCTAAGTTTGGAACAAATCACTGTAAGACGTGTACGACTCAATGCTTTGGTAAATATATCTGCAAGCTGATCTTTAGATTTCACAAATGGAGTTGTAATCTCCCCAATTGCTATCTTGTCCCGAATAAAGTGACAATCAACTTCAATATGCTTGGTGCTCTCGTGAAACACCAGATTGACAGCGATATGGATAGCTGCATGGTTGTCACAGAACAACTGTAAAGGAAGTTGAACTGGAAACCCAATTTCCTGAAGTAAGTGTAGTAGCCAAGTCAACTCACTCGTTGTATGTGTCATTGCCCTATACTCGGTCTCAGCACTGGATCTTGCTACCACAGATTGTTTCTTACTCTTCCATGAGACAACATTACCTCCTAAGAAAGTACAATAACTAGTGGTTGATCTCCGATCAGAAGGAGAGCCAACCCAATTAGTATCTGAGAAACCTTCCACTCTAAGATGTCCATTACCTCGATATAACAGTCAAAGTCTAGGAGTTTGTTTGAGATATCGCAGAATACGAGTTACTACTTCCTAATGTGGTACTCTAGAATACCCCATGAACTGACTTACTATACTGACTGCATAGGAAATATCCGGTCGAGTAATAGTGAGATAATTGAGCTTCCCAACCAATCTGCGATACCGACCCGGATTCTCAAACAGTGCACCATCATCCATCAAAAGTTTTTGATTCGGATTCATAGGAACATTAATAGGTCTGCCACCCAGCAAACCTGCTTTTTCTAGCATGTCAAGTACATATTTCCTCTGGGATAAACAAATACTCTGTTTAGATCGAGCCACCTCAATACTCGAGAAATACTTGAGTTTTTCCAAATCCTTAGTATGAAATCGATCCTGCAAGAATATTTTTAACTTGGCAATCCCCTCAGAATCATTTCCAGTAATCACAATATCATCTAAATAGACCACCAATAGAACATATCCAGCATCTGTCCGTCTATGAAACACAGAATGATCTGTCTGACATCGAAGAAGACTAAACTCTAAAACTGCATCTGAAAACTTACCAAACCCTGCCCTTGGTGACTGCTTCAAACCATACAAAGATTTCTTTAACCAACATACACTCTTACCATACTCCCCCTGAGCAGTAAATCTAGGTGGCTGCTTCATATATATCTCTTCAACCAAGTCACTATGTAGGAAGGCATTCTTGACATCTAACTGAAACAAGAACCAATCAAGATTAGCAGCCAAAGAAATCAAGATACGAATTGAATAAATTTTGGCAATAGGAGAGAAAGTCTCCTCATAATCAATACCATAAGTCTGAGTAAAGCCCTTTGCAACAAGTCTGCCTTTGAGACGCTCCACAGAACCATCCGGATGAAATTTAACAGCATACATCCAACGACAACTAACAATTCGTTTACCAGGAGGTAAAGGAACGAGATCCCAAGTCCCGTTATGATGTAAGACATCCATCTCCTCCTCTATAGTTTTCTTCCAACCCGGATCAGATAATGCATCCTGTAAATGCTTAGGAATAGATATAGTAGATAATTTGGAAGTAAAATAAGAGAAGGCAAGAGACAAGGCATCATATGAAATAAAATGAGCAATGGGATGATTAGTAACACACGAACGAGTACCTTTCCGAAGAGCAATAGGTAAAGAGTCTAAATTACCTGATGTACCAGGATCAAAAGGCGGCAAGGAAGACCGTACGGGCACCTCAGTCGATGGGCGAGGACGGCGAGAGTAGACACGGAGAGGTAAAGTAGATGGTAACACAGTAGGCAGCGGAATATCTGAAGATGAGGAAAGAGATGATGGTATGGGAGATGACCCAAAGTCTAGATCCGAAGGCTGAGAAGGTGCTGGAAAATATGGAATAGATTCCTCAAACGTGACATCGGCACTAGTAAAGTATCGGTTTAGAGAAGGACTGTAGCAACGATACCCCTTCTGCGTGCGGGAGTAACCAAGAAATTCACATTTGGTAGCTCGAGGGTCAAGTTTGTCGAATTCAGGACCCAAATTGTGAACATAACAGACACATCCAAAAACCTTAGGAGTCGGGAAAAATAAGGGCTTACCAGGAAAAAGAACAGAATATGGGCTTTGCCATTTAATGCAGAGGATGACATACGATTAATAAGGTGACAAGCAGTAGGAACAACATCACTCCAAAAATATCGGGGAATATTCATCTGGAATAACAGGGTACGAGAGACTTCCAACAAATGACGATTCTTGCGTTCAGCAATACCATTCTGTGGAGAGGTGCAAGCACAAAAAATCTGATAAATAATGCCAATTTTACTAAAATAAGCTGAAAAATGATCAGATTCATATTCCCGAGCATTATCGGAATGTAAAATACGTATACGACAACCATACTGAGTTTTTATTTCCTTACGAAAGGTCTCAAATATAGAGAACAATTCAGACCGAGCTTTCATAAAAAACAACCAAGTCACACGAGAATAGTTATCCACAAATTTCACAAAATAAGGGTATTTATTAGATGAAATATTCTTTATGGGACCCCATACATCAGAATGTACTAACTCAAATAGACTAGACACACGATTATTGACTCTAGATTGAAAAGACATACGGTGATGCTTATTAAGTTGACAAGCTTCACAAGGCAAAGACGACACATAGCTAAGGCTAGGAACTTGGCGCTTTAGATTCTGGAGAGAGGGATGTCTAAGACGACAATGCCATTGAAAAGGAGACAACGAGGTCTGTAGGGCCTGGGTGGGTGAATCAAAGTCAAGGTAATATAGGCCATCAGTTTCATGTCCCGTACCAATCTTCCTCTTCGTCTTGAGATCCTGAAAGACACAATAAGAGGGATAAAAGGTTACGAAACAATTTAGAGAATGAGTAATCTTACTTATGGAAAGTAAACTAAAAGGAAACTGAGGAACAAATAACACGGAAGATAGGGACATATCAGGACTCAAGTGAGTAGTACCCAGACTTGAAACTTTAGAACAAGTACCATTAGCAAGAGTAACACTACGTGTGGAAGTAATAGACTGATAAGTAGAAAAAACATCAGATGAACCAGTCATGTGGTCAGAAGCGCCAGAGTCTATGATCCAGGGACTACGAGTGGAGGACAATAAATAAGTGGAAGTAATACCTGACTGGGCAAAAGTAGTAGTAGAGGGGAGATGGGACAGCTTGTTGCTGGGACAAGAACTAAACATACTCTTCTCGTGTAATAGTAACCAACTCAGTATCTTGCTTGGGTTTCATAAGTGTAGCAAATAGAAAAAGAAAATCACTAGATCACTGAATCGGACAAGAATCACCTACTACACTGCTGAACCGAAGAGGAAAAGATTGCTGGATCACCAAACCGGGCTGGAGAATCTTACTGGAACGTTGAACCGGATCTAATAAGTACACTAGACCGCTGAACCGGACCAAAAAAGGGTACTGGACTATTGAACCGGACCAGAAAAGGCTACTGGATCACTGAACCGGGCTAGAAAAGCTAGTTGGACCGCTAAACCGGGCCGGTTTGACTTGTTGGATCACTAAACCGGGCTGGAGCACTGAATCGGGCCGGTTTGGCGTGCTGGATCACTGAACCGGGCTGGTTTGGCTTGATGGATCACTGAACCGGGTTAGTTTTTCTCGCTAAACCTCTGAACCCAAAATAAAATTGTCTGAACCGGTCTGAACCACTGAAATTGGGCTGAACCAAAACCAACTGGGGTTGGATCAGATTTGGGTTGACCCGAAGTGGATCGGGTCTGGGCTGTTTCTTCTTTGTTGGTTAGGGTTGCAAAAAACCCTCTTCTGTGCTGACTGCGCCTCAACAGCCACGCCACCACCACTAAGCTCGTCGACTGAACAACACCACAACTGACCACAAACAACACAAACCGAACGTCGGCAAACACAGGACCACCACCAACACACACCAAACTGCGGCAAACACAGTACCACCACAGCCAGTATCAACACCACAACAGTAGCACCACCACCACGACAGTACCAACACCACCACAACAGTAGCAACAGTAACACCTCTACAAACAAAATTTATTCAGAATATATATTTATGATCGTAATTGCTCTGATACCATGTTAAGTTTGGAAGATTAATACAATATTAGAGATAATATTTAGGGAGAAAGAGAGAGATTAACAACATAACCTAGCTCTCATACAACACTTATATTTATAGTTAACTCTCAATAATAAGAATTACACATACACCCTCTTACTATTAACAATTTACATATACTACCCTAATATTCTTAACAGTCATCTTTAGTGTTGTTAATGCTACCAATGTTACAACATCAAGGGATCTATTAAATTACTTCATATGCTGGAAAGGTTGACTCTTGCTTAAACTGAGGTGGCATAAACAATACATAGGGGCTACAATCCTAATTAAATGTTGAATGAGACCCCATAAAATAATGAATTGAAGCTTATGTCAACAACATAAGCTTATGCTTGAATACAAGGATTGTGATAGTCATCTTTAGTGTTGTTAATGCTTCCAATGTTGCAACATCGAGGGATCTATTAAGTTACTTCATATGCTGGAAAGGTTGACTCTTGCATAAACTGAGGTGGCATAAACAATAAATAGGGGCTACAATCCTAATTAAATGTTGAACGAGACCCCATAAAATAGTGAATTGTAAACTCATTATATTTACTTTGTTCTATCAATTAAATAGTGGTAAATTTTCTGTTTCAGCTACACCTTGTTCAACATGTTTGATGATTTGATTCTTCTGGCAAAAGGTGGTCTCACTGTATACCATGGATCAGTAAGGAAAGTTGAAGCATACTTTGCAGGACTTGGGATTGATGTCCCAGAGCGTGTTAATCCTCCAGACTACTTCATAGATGTTTTGGAGGGGTTAATTAAACCAAGCACAAGTTCGGGTTTAACTTATAAAGAGCTTCCCATCAGATGGATGCTTCATAATGGTTATCCTGTACCCCCGGATATGCAACAGAATTCTGCAGGACTCACTATGTCCCCAGTGCCTGCAAATCTAGATCATCCAGTAATTGCTGCCACTGCTGAAAATGATGATCAATCCTTTGTCGGTGAAATATGGCAGGATGTGAGGTGTAATGTGGAGCATCGGCGAGATATTATAAGACACAATTTCTTGAGGAAGAGGGACTTGTCCAACAGGAGGACTCCAGGTGTTCTCCTACAATACAGATACTTCCTTGGGAGGTATATAATTAAGAGTGTCCTTTTTGTCCTACTTTTTACTAATTTTTTTAATAAATATCTCCAACAATATACAGTTAAAATTAATTTCTCTACCCTTCCCTTCCATTTAACATTCTGAAAGATTGATTAATATCTGTACAACATTTGTTTATATCTTGAATGTATTACATGTTTAGCATTATTTTAATCCCCGATAAATATGACTGTTTGAGATTGATTAATATCTGTACTACAATTGTTTATATCTTGAATGTTATTATATGTTTAGCATTATTTTAATCACCAATAAATATGACTGTTTGCTGGATATCTTTGCCATAGTAGAGGTTGCAAGAACGTGTCAAAATGTGAGCTAAAGTTTCTGACATGACATTCTCTCAAGATTGTAATTGAAGACTGTTATTCTCATTGGTAGTTCCATAGAGTCAATATGTCAGAGAAAATGACAGGATGTTTAACTAGAAAGGTTTTAAGATTTCTGGCATTAGTAGACCATATGACATGTTGACTCTCGTTTCCCATAGTATGAAATATAATCCACTTGAGCCTTTTATCACAACGTGCTGTATATTCTTCAGTTTTAGTTTCTGTGCGGACTATTAATGGTGGGAATATTGATTCCATAGACTTTTTCTTTATATTTCTATAGTGCAGCCTTCTTTTATATTCTATGCATATCTTTTCAGGGTTGCTAAGCAACGGCTACGAGAAGCTAGAATACAAGCAACAGACTATCTCATCTTATTACTTGCTGGGGCATGCTTAGGATCAATTACCAAAATGAGCGATGCGACCTTTGGTGCTCCTGGTTATACTTACACAATCATCGCAGTTTGTAAGTTGAAAGACCAATCAATTAACATGCTGATTAAGCAGACTAACAGGAAGAAACTTTCTTGACACTTGGCACCTCATGACTTCTGTAATCCACTGTGATTGATAAATCATAATCTTCCTTCTGTGGTATTAAGCACAAATGGCCAACTAGTAACAGTGATTCCAGAATCCAGACTAGTAACTAAAGGGTTAGAGCATCTCCAACAGTACTCTATATTTTAGAGAGCATCTTTCATAAAAATTTGAAATAGAGAGTGAAATACTCTATATTTTAGAGAGCATCTTTCATAAAAATTTGAAATAGAGAGTGAAAATTTTTAAATAACTCCAATGGATTCTCTATTCTAATAGTAAAATAGCCTTATAGTAAATAACATTTAATAAAGAATGCATATGTGTCATCTTTTCATTAATTAAAAATAGAATAGAAAGTGAGTTGGACTCAACAAACGTAAAGATCCAAGTCAAGCTCTCTATTTTAGCTAGTCTAAATAGCGAATCTATTGGGGCTTGATTTTTTGTGGTTAGTTCTCCAAAATGGATAGTTGAGTGGGAATAGAGAGTCTATTGGAGATGCACTTAGCCTAGATATTAATATTACTAATATAAACAGTAATAAGCACTAACCATTGCTGCTTACTTTTATATATCTTCTTTTTACACAATTATGGATGATTTCAGCTCTTCTATGCCAAATTGCGGCTTTGAGATCATTTTCTCTGGACAAGATTCACTATTGGAGAGAAAGGGCTTCGGGCATTAGCAACCTGGCTTATTTTCTTTCCAAGGATACGGTTGACCATTTCAACACCGTGATTAAACCTGTTGTGTATCTCTCCATGTTCTATTGCTTAAGCAACCCCAGGTCCTCCTTCACTGATAATTACATTATCTTGCTTTGCCTTGTGTATTGTGTGACTGGAATCGCATATGCACTGGCCATCTTTCTTGAACCTGGTTCATCCCAGCTGGTGAGTAATAGAAATTTATTTTGAAAGAAAGGCTCTTAAACCTATTAGTTGGAAATTCCATTAATCAATCTATTTCCGCTGACTAGCTGCTGACACTTTGTGCAGTGCTCGGTGCTACTTCCTGTGGTTTTGACTCTCATTGCAACGCAGACAAGTGATAGTAAATTCATGAAGAATTTAGCAAACTTGTGTTACACAAAATGGGCCTTGGAAGCATTTATTATTACAAATGCAGAAAGGTATGCACGAATCCCCTTTATCACAGTCAGGTGATGCCTTGGTGTTGACATGTGCCACTATTATAGAAATTTCTAATCATACCAATCTGGGAATTGAAAAACAAAAGTTGGGAGCTGGAAAACCTGGAGCTAACACTTTGGGACCTAGTGCTTAGGGTCTTCGTGTTATTGTGACCTTACAAATTGGACAATTCATTCCACTAATCATATCTTTTCTCAGGTATTATGGAGTGTGGCTGATAACTCGTTGTGGTGCACTTCTGAAAATGGGCTATAATCTTCATGATTGGGGTCTTTGTATATCTGTTCTTACCCTAACTGGTCTACTTAGTCGTGTAATAGCATTCTTTGGTATGATGATCTTCCACAAGAAGTGACTTCAAACCACTATTCTTTTGTCATCCTCTTTTCATGTACAAAAGCAGACACATGCGATTTTCAGCCGGTTTTATCAGACAACCATTCAAGTCTGGATTGGTGTTAAGTCTCCCTTCTTGTAGTTTCTACGCTTACTTATACGTTCCAATGAAAAATATAAGGCCTTAGACGACGATTTGTTTGGCAGCTGATGTTGTATTTTTGGGATTTGACTTGGGCAGCTTTCAAGTTTTGATGTTTTTCGCCGTATATTTTTGCACATCTTGCTTTGCTGCAGTAATACTTCTGTTTGATAGGTATATTCCAACCTTTAAGGACCTCATGGAAAAACTCTTGTATAATGGCATTCAATTTGAGTTCATGTGAAAAGGAATATCATTACCGTACCCCAAAAAAAAAAAAAAAATCAATACCGAAAAATTATTAATTTTAAATATTTAGTTATATCTTGTAAAAGTGAAATTATAATTATTTGAGATAATTCATGATTGATCTTGAGTTACTTTTAATCAATTTTAATTTTTCTTTTACAAGTTATAATTTAACTTTTAAATATTTTAATTTTCATAATTGATCATAATATTTTAAGATCGATTACGCCTTTCTAATTATAACTTACACCAAAAATTCTACATTAATCTTAAAAAAATTATAATTTTTTGGTAAGATATTAAAGATAATACTATAGTCTTTCATTACGAAAAATATTTCAAACAAAATCATTAAAACACAAGTGATTACATAGCGACATTTCAATAAAGAAAAAGAGTTTAGGATTGTAAAACTTCTCACTAGTGATAAAAAAAATATATAAAAATTGTGTTTGTCAAATCATAAATCATTTGACTCAAAAGAATCCGTTGAAAGAGAATTATATAACTTATCAAAAAAAAAAAAAACGAAAGAGAATTAAAAATCTGTGAAAAGCCAACAATGGACTTGTTTTATGGGCATTTGTACCTATAAATATATATATGCAAGTCAAGCTTATTAATGCGAGATTAGTATTTTTTTTTAAGCAAAGATGATATAATTTGTCAAATATTTGACTGCTTAATACCTATAGGCATGGTGATACACTTCCATTAAATTAAACACTACTTAAGGTCATTGATTATAATTATTCATGCAATAATTGGATTTGGTCAATATTCAATCACATTATTATTTTTTCCAATCTTCAGTTGCCCTTATGGTGGCGGTCTTGATCTCCAAAGAATTAGTCCAAAAAAATAAAAATATATAAATAATAAAAAATAAATAAATGAAATAATAGAAAAAAAAAAAAAAAGGAGGAAACCAATAACAATGTCAACACAATTGTAGCACAACTACTTAAGTGGTAGAATAGGGGCTGTTTGGTAAGCGCACATTAAGTGCTTTTTCTTTTCTTTTTTTTGGGTCCGGAAACAAGTTTTTTCATTTAAAACGTCCATAAGGAATGAAACAAATACATACAACGAGATTATCCTATTCCCGTTCTAACTTCACCCCTTAGTAGCTGGTCCAGCCTTGGAGGTGGGGATGTGATCCACATAGACGTTAGTGCTCCTTCTCTGGTTTGAGTAGCTACTTCTTGCGCAGGGACGGCCTAACCTAGTTTGGGACCTAGGTAAAAATATTATACGAAGTTTTATAAATATTTATTTAGTAATAATAGTAATATTAAATATTTATTAAAATATTTTTATTTACAAATAATTTTTTTTTTCTTTTGAAATATAACATACTAATTCAAATTTTAAATTTGCCAAATAAAAATTATGTTATTTGAAGTCAAATACGAAGATCAAACACCATACATACTATTTATTTAAGATAAAAGAGAAATATAAATGAAAATTAATTTGACTAGTAAAATAATTTTTTTTCTAAATGTATATAAAAATAGGAATTAATATAAGTTGAGTAGTTCTAAAAGAAATGATACATCTATAATTTATAATATAAAATAGGACAAATTTCAATAAGTTCATTCGACTGTCTCAAATAGATTTATTCAATGACCACCAACATCTCTATCAAAATCATTCAAATTGTAGTTTTCCCCTAAATTCATCACTTCTCACTTATGTCTCATCGTGTCTTCATGCACAGATTACTGTAATTGTTAGATATCATAGAGAAAAATAATTATTTTTAAATAAAAAAGATAGTCAGTGCACTACTTCTACTTATTCTATTTTATAGATATCTTGTGTATTGTAAACAAAGTTATTAAAAAATGACCTCAAATTTAATTTATACGATAGTCAGTTGATTTTAATAATAAGATTGTAAAGTGATAATATATATAATATTAATATGAGGTAAGATAAAAAAATAAGTTGAATTTTAGGGCCGTAATTTTTTGTTGAAAGAGGTTCTAAAATTTTTATAATAATACTAGTTGCATCTAATTTGAGAATCAAATACATTAAATAAATAGTGAATTTTGTTTAAAGTTAGCACTCACTATTAATTCAATGATTAAAATGTATTGAGTATTTAAATTATATTCTAAAATTTTAATTATATATTATTATTTATTTTATTTTGGGCCTCAAATTTTTCTTCCAATTTGAGGACCCTAGGCTCATTATTGCCTAAGTCGCCTAAAGTTTGGGCCGACACTGTTCATGCGCATCCACTTGTATTGAGGCAAAATCCCTAAGCACTACCTCTGTATGTTTGGTAATTGAATCTATGAGCTCCTGGGAATCGGTCTCCATAATAACAGCCTAATAGCGCTCCTCTTTTGCCAACCTACAGGCAGTTCTAACAGCTACAGCTACAGCTTCAGGGACGAGCGTTGATGAAGCCTTTAAGGTACCTGATGTACCTTGTATTAGAGTACCCAAATGATCACGAACAACAACTCCAAAAGCCCCTTGCTGGTGTACCTTAATGAAAGATCCATCACAGTTAATTTTAATCCAACTTTGTGGGGGTGGTATCTACCTGCACTGTTGATGGTTCAGAGGTATTTTAACCTTAAACACATTAAGTACTGAAAACTAAAAATTTTCATGGATTTTCCAGAACAGCGTGTTTGATAACGTATAATGGATCCTGTGCGTGCACGATCCTGCACAATATAAAAACGAGAACAAATATCTCCCTTGGTGAACTAGAGTGAGTCAGTTGAGTGGTCAACCACGCTGCTTGGAACAGCCTGCGAGGTCCGGTGGTAACCTGGAACGGCAACGGGAGACCCTGGGGGAGCGGAAGAACGATCCAGTAAGGCTGAAAGAAAGGTTCCTGGAACAAAGAAGAACAAGTTAGAAGGGCGCCGAAGTGTTTTCCGGCGTATCCCCTCCGACGATCTAGTCAGTCTTTGAGAGAGAGAGGAAGAAGAAAACACTGAGTGTGTATTGTAGCAAATGTTTTTTCTTGCGTACCGTCTTGCCTTTTGCGAGGAGTATTTATACCTCAAAAGCTCATGATTGCTGTCAGTGTAGTCAGTAGGTGATCATTAGGTACAGGCAGTGTGCGCACTGATTTTGATGAGGAATGTCTTCTCTTCTTAACTGCTCGAGGTCCTGAGCAATCAATGCTGCATCATCGGGATGCCGACGGTACAATGAACTCCTCTCGGGGAGGATGCAATAAATGCTCTGTATTAGGAACATTTATTGTCTTTCATTTCCGAGTCTTACCGCATTGAATGCAGTCTCATCAAGGGAATGGTGTAATTAATCGTTTGTTTTCCCAAGTCGCGTGTCAGCAACGGCATGCGGTTTTTCTGTCTTTGATGTGACATCATATGCCACGCGTCCATCCCCCATTGGCTGTGGCCCCTGCATTCCTGTGCGTTCTGACACCAATTGTGTAAGACGAGGTCATGATGAATAGCCTGGACTAGCCTAGGCTAATGACCTGTACGTCAATAGCTTATTCTGGAGTAGAGGAGGCGTCCAGGACGGGGTACCTTTCGGCACCGAGGAAAGGCACATCTCGAAACCGAGGGAGGTATACCGACCGAGGCACCATATCAGACCGAGGCTACGTGTCGGTTGTAAAACGTACTGAATGCCATGATCTCATATGACGAGTACCTCGGGAGCGAGGGACTTTTGTGAGCCGATGGTGCTTGATCTTAGCAACAGTGTTTTGGTAATACCGAGGACACGTGTCTTCATCATGAAATTTTTCAGAAAAGTCCCATCAACTGCCCCCCAGCCTTCGATCTTCTGACACCGAAGGCACGCGTCGTAAGGAGACGAAGGGTTTTCCAACAACCACAACTGCTTCATCATTGCCTCGAGCCGCTTTCCCCTGCTTAGGATGTCATGCGCATTAAATGCGTCTTTTCGTGTTTCGCGCCCAATGATGAAACTGACACTATATAAATGGGGTTCCTCTTCCATTTTCTTATTTCGCCATTCCGAACTTCCTCAAGAGAGCCTTTTCCTGAATCTTCGTCGGAGATCTCTTTCCTTCCCCATTGTCAACTGCCCATTTTTCCTTAAAGTCTTAAGGCCAGCAGACCCATCGTTGCTTCTGAACTTTCTGGATGGAGTCGCCTAAAGTTTTCCAGAAAAAACTCCGTTTGACATTCGGGTGAGTCCTAGTATCTTTCCTCTTCTCTTCCTCCTATCCCTTTTTGTTTTTCAATGACTGGAGGTGTCTCCGGTTGATACTTAGTAACAAATCCTCGGGAAGCTTCCTCAGGGATTTTTAAGGAAAAACACCCTCCACTTTCTCACTTTCTTAGAGATGCCTCGTCGTCGCCCTGCTCCCGAGAATCCTCAGGCTGGTTCTTCGGGGTCGGGGAAGTATAAAGTAAAGGGTGGTGAGCAGATTAATAGGTTTAAGGTCAAGTACAGCATTCTCCCGTACGTAGACATAGAGAATTATGACCCGGTGGTGCACTCTCCTACCCTCGGGGCCGAGGATGCTATGCCCTTTTATACTAAGGCCATAATAGAGGGCGGAATTAGGTTTCCTTTACCTCCTTTACTTCTCCAGTTCCTCTCTCACTTCCACCTCTTCCCCGGGCAGTGTTTCCTTAATGTCTTCAGAATAATTATGGGGGTCTTAGAGCTTAATAGGCGTCTCGGGATAAATATTGGGCTGAACGATCTCTTTTTTTGTTATTCCCTCTTGAGAGTCATGCCTCAACAACACTTCTACCTCAAAGCCAGGAACTCCTCCATGTACCTTGTAACTCATCTTCCCGACTCGGACAAGGGGTACAAGGACGATATTCTTATCTTCAAGGGATCTTGGCAGAGAGGTGTTGGTCCCGAGTATAACGGCTTGTTATGCCCTTTGGAATGGAGAACGACAAGTACGTCGGTTCCTTCGGGTTTATTATTTTGTTCTCCAGATTT